GAAGCAATGCGTACGACATCCTTTGCAAATGGAAGAGTCTATGTCCAACAATTTAGTGTATCGAAGGTCGGTCGTCTTTTTACACAACACCCCTCTTTTTAAGATACGCATTCTCTTTTTAAATTCGTATTTTCTTCATTTCTGGTTCACTTCCAAAACCTTCCCTGGATTACTTTTTCTTTTACTAAAACGGTGTTTTCGAATATTATAATTGGAGTTGGGAAGTCAAAAGTATCGTACAGCATTTTCTTTGTTGTTCTTTTTTTATTTGCTCTGCATATCTTGGTTTTGACTGGTTTAAATGCATTTTATGCCACCAATTTTGACCTTGTACCACATACATCATCCTGCTAATGCGGTTTACTATTTCACCATCTCCCCAACTTTCTTTTTTGTAAATCCCGAAAAAAAAACTTATCTCCAGCTTTGAAAGATGAAAGCCGATAGCAAGACTGTTATGGGACCTTACCCATAATGACATAATGGACTATTCCATACGTAATAAATACTGCGCCTCAAGAGGAAGCAGAGAGTTCACTCCGAAGTCGGGCGACCGGCTGACGGGCTGATCGGTTGAACTCTCTGCCTTCGGCCGGGGAGGAACCCGAACGAGGCTACACCGAAGGGCGAAGTCTCTTTCGGGGGTGGGGATAAACCGACCCTGAACCCGTTTATACGGGTTCAATGGGCATATTTTTGGCCGAGCCCAAGGGCTCGGAGATCCCACATTAAAAAGGTCTTGTGCCACATGACGCCCTCGTGGGAGGGTGACTGAATATCGTTCAGTCTGAAGTCGGGCAACCGGCTGACTGGCTGATCGGTTGAACTCTCTACCTTCGGGCGGGGAGGAACCCGAACGAGGCTACCCCGAAGGGCGAAGTCTCTTTCGGGGAGGTAAACCCACCATGAACCCGTTTATACGGGTTCAAAGGGCATATTTTTGGCCGAGCCCACGGACTCGAGATTCCACGTTAAACCGGCCTTGTGCCACATGATGCCCTCGTGGCAGGGGGTGACTAAATACTGTTCAGTCTGAAGTCTGGAGTGAGGTCCCTCAGGTGTCTGTCAGTCAGAGCGAGTGAGTCAGTCGAGTCATAGGCAGACGGAAACAGAGTCGCGTTCAGATAATTACTACTAAACCTGATTGTTCGTACTAACACTTTCTACTTCTCTGTATATATTCCTGTTCGTAATATATCTGTTTTATTCCAGATCCGTGTTCGAGTTCTTCTTTATTGGTTCTACCTTGGATTTCAGCGTGGTACAAGGAACCGGACCATAACAAAGACGATGTATAATTCATAATGTACGCAACGGAAGACCGTACGTCTTCAAACAAGACTCTGCACCTCGTCATAAGGCTAAGACCAGCCAAGCAGGGATGTGTGACTGTCTCTGAAACCTAATGATATTATTGCTCATCAGACCCGGGTCCACCGGACTACAACGTCTTCTTAACGTCATAAAATATATCAAGTCCGTCAAAGTTTCCGATCCATATCAAAGCATCCATCCATGTTAAAGCGGTGGTTTCATTGAATGGATGTTATATAAGGATTCTCAAGATTGTTTGCACCAATTTGATTTCAAATAAAGCTTTTCGTTCGTGAGCTTTGCGTCTTTCTCCAAATCAGAATTCATGCATATGTCCTCAAAAAATGACGTACTCTCTCTCTCTCTCCGTACCCTCTCTCTCTCGCTAACCCCCTCTCTCTCTCTCTCCCTCTCTCTCTCTCTCTATCTATCTATATATCTTCAAGCGTTCTTTATCCAATGGATTCCGAGTTGACCCTATATCCATATGTCATATTTATATAGAGCGTTTAATATCGGAGATCAAAGCGTGTGGATATAGGGTCAACTCGGAATCCATTGGATAAAGAACGCTTGAAGGTATGAAACTGACACTTCACATGAAGTGTTGTTTTTTATGTGTTTTTCTCTCTCTTTCTATGTGTGTGTGTGTTTTCCATCTTTATGTATAAGTGGAAATAGAGCAATCCTACATATACGCATGTGTGTTTGCGTGCGTTTCTGCGTGCATTCATCGCTATTCAAAAGTGAAACTACGTGCGCGTAGCTTTCCAACACCATCTGAAAGTGAAAGTAGAAATGAAGCGCATTAACTTACCTAATGGCAAAGGACTTGACCCATTTGTGTGAGATGTTTGTCACGATTGACAGCACAAAAATGACTGCAAGAAAACGTGAGGGTTTACTGTAGAAAGGACGCGCGTAGTTTTTCTCCTGTGTGGGAAATTGTTGAAATATTTCTGAGGCTAATAGCAGAAGCATTTTTTCGTATTTCAAGATTTCTATATCGACCATAGCAGATTTTGAATGTTGAGATTTGATATCAAACTGAGCATATGCAGAGGAAGTTTATTTTGTTGGTCAAGATCCATAAAAAAAAAATCCCCGTACATGATGTAAAAAATGACACCAAATTAGTAAAAATAAACTTTATATTGTTATTGAGAGTAAAGACCAAAGAAATTTTTGATTAATAAACTATATTTTTGGTGCTTTTTAGAACCTCCATAATTTTGGTTAATTTTTTTCCCTTGATCAGCGAGTAAACATAAATTAACATAGGGTATTTTAACATCTTTTTTAAATAATTTCCAAATCAGTGTTTTGACACTGATTTGGAAATTATTGCAAAAATCAGATAATTGTCGGATTTTAAATGAAATTTTCAGGAGTAATTTACAAATGAATGAAATTATTACAGACTTATTTCTTTGTTAGAAAATCTTTACAGAATTATTTTTTTTACATCTGTTAACACCCACACACTTATTTAAATCTATGAAATTTCGATAAATCCATTTTTGTACGGCTTAATCTTAGTTATAAGCAGAAGTATTTGGAGAATGTTTTTTTTCTAAAACAGGACTCCAGTTACTAAAAATTAGCTCTGAATCGTAAAATAAATAAATGCAATAGAACTAACACATTATTTAATTTAAAAAGCTTTTAATTTCTTTTATAAATAAGATATAATATGAACACTATTTCTTAAGAAAAATAACTTGAACAGTATTTTCCTAAGAAAAAAAAAATTTTGATGAGTAATGAATTTTTAAAAGAATTGTTTTAATTTAAAAAATAATTATAATAATTTTTAAAGTTTTAAATCTTATAAAATTCTGTATTAATTTGTACCGGTAAGGTGATATTGTTATTAAATAAAATTATATTTACTCATTATAAAGAGAAAAAGTTTTGTGACAAGCAGTATTTAAAAAAAAAATGTTTGCATTTTTCTATATGTGCATAGTCGTACTAATTTTGTAAATATGTACGACCATTCACGATATTATTCGATACAAAGAGCGGTAACTATAGTAAATTTCAAGCTCAAATTAGATTTAGATTTAAAATTTTTAAGATTAGTTAAAAATTATATAAAATAGGCGCTTACGTTATATTCGTCAAGTAATTTTTACGAATATGTGCCCCGTAGAAAAAAAAGTTGAATTATCCAAACATCTGGATGTTAAAAAAAGACTGTCAAAACCTCATAAAAACATTTACGTTCCGTGTGAAAAATGCTTTTCTGTGACATTTTAAACTAAAAGTAATATTTGTTTAAAAAACATTGATTAAACATTAAACCAGCTAATCTTCCTTAGAGAAAGTTTCAAGAAAAATATATATTTTTTAATGAATTTTTTTTTTAATAAAAAGAATTACGTTGTGCTGAGAGAATTTAACATATAACTAAAACGATCGATTTTTAGTGATTTAGAAAAAACATTTCAATGAATTTAAATTCGTTTTGAAATACAACAAAGTATTTTGGTTATTGGAAAATTTAATTTATTAGCTTGGGATTAAAACTGAAAAGCTTCAAGAAATATTTTTCATTTTTAAACATTCATTTTAAACATCAGCTATCGCTTTACTTTCGAAGAATATATTGTTTATATTGTTTATATACAGTAAAATCACGACTATCGCGGGTGTTACGTTTCAGAACCATTTCCTCAAAGATGAAGAAGAAGCTCGAGGAAGCGGAGATGTAGTTCTATAGAAGGATGCTAAGGATATAATGGAGCGAGCGTGCAAGCAACGATGAGGGCGAGGATGCAAACAAGGAGGAACTTAACATAAGGAAGAGGCAGATGAAATTTCTGGGACACGTAATGAGAAAAGAGGGCCTGGAGAATCTGATACTCACAGGTCGAATAGAGGGAAAAAGAGACAAAAAAAAATGCAACGCATGACATACCTGGCGGGCTTAAGTAAGTGGATGATAGAATATGGTCTGGGGTAGTTGACAGAGGCATGAAACTTATTGAGTGCTACAAGAGATAGTGGGGGGAGTGGCGAGCCATGATCGCCTACGTCCTAAAAGGTCACAGCACATAACAATAAAAGAAGTTCATACAAAACTTTATTCAGTAACCCGCTACCTTGAGTAGCTCTTAATTTATTTTTTAAGCATTTCTCAAAGCAAGGCGGGTGTGCCACTAGCACTCAAGGGTTTACAGAGAGTGAGAGTAAGAGAAAAGAGCAATGTTTGAATAAAGGATAAAAAAAGGGCGGGTGTCAAGATCAAGGCATCAGAAGATTAATTATTAAACAAATAATCATCCATGGCTTGCATTTGGCCTTCTTTAAAACATTTCTTTTTTTGTGCATTTATTACAAATTAATAATCTTGCAGCATCTAAGGAGAAAATGGTGGAAGTTATTATATGACATCAAACACGTTAAATATAAAGAAAGAAATTGTTTCCCAACGGAATTTAGATATGACATTCTCTTTTGCGGTCAGTCTAGTTCATCTGGCAATCCATACTCTGCAAAGATAACTGCCAAAAAATCGTATATTCTTCTCAGATCTGGTTAGATTACGATTTCGTCCCACCCCATTGCTAATTCGGCCCCACCCTCTTGTATGAGACGGGATCGTCTGACACCCCAGCAAAGACCGAAACAGAGGAATGTTTATTTGGCTGTTGACATGCAAGACACGATGAGGGGAGCTGTCAGGAGAAAAAAAAGCGGTGATGTGTGGGTGGGTAGGTGGAGAAAGACGCTGGAAGAGATAGCATCATGGGAAGTGAAAGAAGTGAAGAAAGAAATAAACAATAAATTTTGGTGGGGAAAAGGAGGAGGAAAAATAACTTAAAGGGAAGAGGCGGAAAAAGAACTTAAAAGGAAGACGAGGAGGAAAAAGAACTTGAAAGGGGGAGGAGGAGGAAAAAGAACTTGAAAGGAGGAAGACGAAAAGAACATAAAGAGAGAAGGAATAGGAGGAAAAGAACTTAAAAGGAGGAGGAGGGGGGAGGAGGAAAAGACCTTAAAGGGAGAAGTAGAAGGAAAAAGAACTTAAAAGGAGAGGGAGGGGGAAAGAATTTAAAAAGGGGAGTGCGAGGAGGAAAAAGAACTTTAAAGAAAGAGTAGGAGTAAAATAATTTAAAAGAAGGTGGAGGAGGAGGAGGAGAAGGAAAAGACCTTAAAGATAGAAGTAGGAGGAAAAAGAACTTAAAGGGAGGAGGAAAAAGAACTTAAACGGAAGAAGAAATTAAAAGGAGGAGGAAGAAAAAGAACTTAAAAGGAGGAAGAGGAGAAAAAGAATGTAAAAGGAGGAGGAAGAAAAATAAATTAAAAGGAAGAGGAAGAAAAAGACCGTAAATGGAGAAGGAGGAGGAAAAAGAACGTAAAAAGAATAGGGGTAGGAGGAAAAAGAACTTAAAAGGACGAGGAGGAGGAGGAAAAGACTGTAAAGGGAGAAGTAGGCTGAAAAAGAACATAAAAAGGGGAGGAAAATGAACAAAAGGAAGAGGAGGAGGAAAAAGAATGTAAAAGGAGGAGGAGGAAAAAGAACTTAAAGAAAAGCAGAAGCGAATGGAAGAAATATATAATGGCTGGCTATTCGTTTCCGAGTAAGCCCCTCTGCAAGGGAGACTAGCCGATCCGGCTTCCAGATGCCTACCCAGGAACATTTATGTTTCTTCGACACCCACAGAGTGACAGTTTCGGGGAGAGAACGGATCATCTGGCGTGATCAAAAGTTTGGACAATGCCAGTACGCTCAACACCTCCGTCATTATGGTGACGACATTGATTGTCATTTTACATCTTCTGTATTTTCACCTTTTCATCTATGATTAGAGTGCCATCCACGATGTAGAAACTTTCTTTAAATTGTTTATAACAATGCAGTAAAAGGAACTGATTAAACCAGCAACCTTTTTTTAAAATATAGCGAAGTTTGCAGAGATTAAATTGTCAATAATATATGAATATAGTAGAACGGCTTTAAAGAAGTATAACAATTAACAAGATTGGGTAGGAACGTTGAGCCAATGGGAATTGTGAAAACGCACTACGACCAATGCATAGCAGAAACCAGAAGATTGCGCGGATTAGAGAAAATACATTATTCATTGAAATGAAAAGATCTCGCCTATTGATACAAGGAGCAAAAATAGCCAGTCTAAATTGGTAACAAGAAGAATTATATATGTATAGGATTGGTGTATACAGAATAAATTCCAATAACCAAAAAATACTATTCTTAAAAGAGTGCTCAACACAGAGTAGAGTAAATATAATTATTTATTCGAAAATTATAACATGAATATGTTATAAAATCACTACAAAAATAGCCATTTTGTTTCAACACTTCTGGTGTCTTATCAAGTGACGATGTTGAATGTAGAATAAAGGGTTTTAAAAGGTTCAAATCAATCAAACACCCCTCGATAGGGGAAACGCTATCACATAAGCTGGAATGACCAATCAAAATACAAGTATATGAGAATTCAAAAAACTTGATAACGAACTTTGGTTATAATAATTATTTAATGCTTTAATGTTAGGGTTAGACTAAAAGAGAATTCATTCTAACAAATTAATATTAAATTTTACTATAAAATTCAAAATTCAAAATTCAAAATTACCAATTTTGAATTTAATCTTATTAAGTTTTAAAATTATAAAATTATTTAAAGAAGAAACTGAGGAAAAAATACATATGTTTTGTTATTTATTTTGTTTTTATTGAAAGGAAAAAAATCAGAATAAACGTTAAAATGTTAATGTTACGCTGAGCTTCGTTACAACTTAGATCCATTTGAAGTGATGATATGGGCAGGGGAGGATGTTATCTTGCAAAAGTCAATACTTACACAATCAGATTATAACACACAAACACGTAGACATATTTAGATATATAAACACACAAAAAAGCGACGAAACAGGAAATAGGTGTCTACGGTGCTTAACCCCCCACCAAAAAAAAAAAACCCCGACAATATATACATATAATGAAAGGCACATATAATAGATTATACACATAGGTATATATATATGTACATGGGTATATGCGTATGTATATGTACGTACGTAGGTACACTTTTGTATGTTTCTATTTGTCGTGAAGTATGTGTGTACACATACGTATGTAAGTATTTTTTTACACATATTGTTATATATTTGTACTTATATATGTGTACTAATGCGTATATAAGTATATATGAGATATTTATATATATTTGTGTGTTTAGGAGTTTTCTTTTTTATATATTAGATAGTGTTATTTTTATGCGTATATATGTATTTTTTCTATCCATTTCTGTATATTTTAATGTCCTTTTTATTTATGTTGTTCATTGACGAATATTTGTTTTCCTATTCTACCCATAATAAATTTTATCTATTCAACCATTTTTATCTTGGTCCGTATAAGTTATATTTTATACTATGTTTGAATTCGTTTACTTTCAATTTAGAATATTTCTTGGTTTGTATATGTGCGTGTCTTTATCAATGTATGTGTGTATAATCGCTTATATGTCACTTTAAATAATTTTTAAAACTTAATACAGATTAAATTTAAAATTGGTAATTTTGAATTTTGAATTTTATAGTAAAATTTAATGTTAATTAGTTAGAATGAATTCTATTTTAGTCTAAACCTAACATTAAAGCATTAAGTAATTATTATAACCAAGGTTCGTTGTCAAGTTTCTTGAATTCTCATATACTTGTATTTAGATTGGTCAATCCAGCTTATGTAACAGTGTTTCCCCTCGCGAGGGGTGTTTGATTGATTTGGACCTTTTAAAACCCTTTATTCTACATTCAACACCATCACTTGATAAGGCACCAGAAGTGTTGAAATAAAATGACTATTTTTGTAGTGATTTTATAACATATTTATGTTATAATTTTCGAATGAATAATTATATATATATATATATATATATATATATATATGGCGACAGAGAAAGAGAGTGAAAGGGAGAAATGATACAGGTTGTAAAACGAGGTGAGATTCGGGAACTGTATGCATACATTTGCAGCCTCCACTCTATACTAATCTAGAGATTCTCTCTGTACATATTGGGAATATATATATATATATATATATATATATATATATATATATATATATATATATATATATATGTGTGTGTGTGTGTCTCTCTCTCTCTGTGTGTGTGTGTGGGTGGGGGTGTATTGTGCATAGATACTTTTTTTTTTTAATGTTCAAAAATTTATGAAATATTTTATTCAAAATCAATCTGTAAAGGAAGTCAAAAATAATAAGGACATCCAATACAATTCCTCTAAAACTAACATTCGAGATGTTTGGTATTGAGGTTACTCTTTGGATTCGAGGAAGAAAAAGTTTCATATTTAGGTCAATACAAAAGTTCTGATTTGAAGAGGAGTCCAAATTCCAGGAAGTTTAATTCGAGGAAATCTAGATTATGCTATGTTCTTCGGATTTGGGGAGTTCTAATGTATTAGTTATTAATGTATTAATCAACGCGTGTCTCTTTGTCTCCGGTGCTGTTTTTCTTAGCTGGTTTTAATGCATCACGTATTTTGGTGTAAGCGGGTTGTCGTGTATTTGCGCGTCAGTTTGTAGTTGTCATTGTGAAATATATTTACATCTATTTGTCTTTAAAGTGAATGAATCATTATTGATGCTCGGATGTTTGTTTATACTGGTGTCGGCTTCTGGCATTTGTAATCGTTTTTTATCGTTTATATGCTATAGAATCTTTGTATTATCGATAAGTATTTGTTAGATTTCCCGAGGTTGAGGTGATTATGTAAAACCTTTAAAATTTTTTTTTTGTGCTGGCCATATTCACAATATTTGGTTACAGGTAAGGAGTAAAATTAGCATGCCGAGTTCAAGTTCTGGTTTAATTTGTTACTAATACTCTGGAAAAGGTATCAATCCATTTTTCTTTGCTACCGGATTATGTTGAAGGCGAGTCTGGTCTCTTAAGCCTTGTTTAGTAGCCAGAGTAGGAAGGACACGTCTGAATTCAAAACCGCAGTGAATAAAAACCAGAAACCATTCCACTTCCCCAGGAACAATCAGGACAAGTCATAAATAATAATAAACAGGAATTAGTCGAGAGATATAACAGCTTAGCCCCTCCCCGAGGGAACACAGCATTAAAAATGAATCTGTAACCGTTAATTTCTCTAAATCTTTTAAGTAAATTTAACTTTGAACGGCTGTCCTCAGTAAGACAATAAACTACACTCGGCCGCAAGGCCTCTGACCTCTTAATTGCTGATGTTCCCAGGTTCACCTTGATCCAGGGTGGTAGCTAATGTTAGGGTCCCAGCTATCGTCAAAAAGTGAACCCCGAAAATGGGTTTGGTTTGTTTTGTTTTGTTTTACAGCATATCAACCACAATTAGTTATTTAATGCCGACAAGATTTTTATTATCTGTCCATATTTCTGAGATCAAGTATTATGTGCATTATTTACATTATTCGGACTATTGTCCTCATCTTTGTTGCCATATTTATAACAACGTTTCGGCCGTTGTACCCTCCGGCTTTCTTCAGGTGGTTGGGATATCGAACTGAACCCTTTATTTCGCTCACTGGGGTAGAATATTCTAGTTCCACGTGCCATGTCTAATGGATGTCAGTGATCAGTTATCTCCTGTTAATTCCCCTCTTCAAGTTCTCCACTGCCTTAACCGCGTATTGAGCTCACACTCTTTGGGTCCTGTCACTCGATCTAACCAACGCCTTTATCCACTGTGCCATGTGTATTTGAGATTTTTTTTATTGCTGGCAATATTTTTTTCCTTCAAAAATGCATTGCTGGTAATAATTTTTCTTCAAAAATTTATTGCTGATACTATTTCTAGTGTTGAACCTATTTTTACATTTTCATAGTATTTTGACCCTAGTTTAGGGGTTAACTATTTGCCATACTTGGGATCCTAACAGATGCTACCCCCCGTGGTCACGATGGACCTGGGAACACCAGCAATTAAGAGGTAGTTCTACACTCCTCAAAACCTCCTGATCGGAGGCCTTGCTGTTGAACGTACTTTATCGTCATACCCAGGACGTGGATGTATTTTATCGTCATACCTAGGACGCCTCAAAAATGGAGCCAAAGCATGAAAATATAAAAATGCATTACAAAACATTACCAGAAATACATTTCTGGAAAAAAAAATTACCAAATCTCACAAGAAAATAAAATTTCTGCATTAAATGACTCATAAGGTGTTGATATGCCGTTAATCAACCAAACCAAAAATTTTACGGAATTTTCAAGATGTTAAGAGAATTGTAAGTTTTTTAAGACTAATTTTTTTTCTTTTAAGATTTTGCAAAAGATAGACTTTTTGCATCAACCTTTATTAACCAAAAGCACAGGTGGCCTAAATCATTACCTTTTCCTTCTGTGGCGTATGGGCTGCTCACGATGGGACCGAAGCCATGCGATCATTACCACCCACAATATCTACTTCTGATCTCTATGCCAGGTGCATGTTGTATCAGCCCCTGCTATTTACTGGCCACTGTTAAATCATCAGTTTCCACCGTGTCGTCACGTCTCATTTAATGGCTAAAGAAAAAATATTATCTCGTAAAACAGTGAAATACAGAAATAAAATAAAAAAAATTAAATGGAAAAAAAAAACAAAAAAAATCATTTGGCCCCCAAAAAGGGAAATTCCAATTTTTACGAGGTTATATTTCACTGGAACTGTTTTAGTCGTTCCGTGATTTCTATCAACCACCTACTCTGCGTTCACTCTGTTTTAATTCAGTCTGTGTTTCCGGTCAAAGTATTTCCGTGAGCGATTTGGATTTATTTTGAGCAGATATATTTTCCATTACCGATATTATTAACTGTTGTTTTTTTTTTTTATCAAAATATTCTCTGTTGATCAACTCGTAAGCATCAGAAATCGTTATGAAGCAGACTAAAATCCACATTCATACACTATTTGGACTATTGTCCGTATCTTTGTCGCCATATTTATTACAATGTTTCGGCCGTTGTACACTCCTGCCTTCTTCAGTATCTGTCTATATTTCTGAGATGAGGTATTATGTACACTATTTACATTACTCGGACTATTGTCCTCATCTTTGTCGCCATATTTATTACAACGTTTCGGCCGTTGTACGCTCCGGCCTTCTTCAAACTTCGCCGAACTGAACCCTTTATTTCGCTCACTGGGTAGACTGTTTAATGGATGTCAGTTATCAGTTATCTGCTGTTAATTCATCTACTCACACTGAACTATTGAACTCACACTGTCCTGGATCTAACCAACGCCTTTGTCCACTGTGCCATGTGTCCTTGAGGACATCTGCGTATGAATTTCTGGGTATTATAAACCTAATGTCTTCAGCAACCATTTTTACCAGCGCTCATATTGCAATTTTGCTGTTATCACCTCATGTTTTTACCAGAGCTCATATTGCAATTTTTGTTGTTATTATCGCTTTTCTCTGGCACTCCTTATTACTGGTTCACACATTGTATTTATTTCTATGCTTGGTCGGCTCAGGGGATTTTTGTGGCCTAGCATATGTGCTGATTCCTTAACTTTATGAATTTTCTAATGGTGTTCCTTGTCAATGATCTCAACATGATCCCACAGAGGGCGGTGATCTCCCTTCTCTTCCCATGTGTGGTCAGCCACGCCTGATTTTTCCACTTCCCCTCATGTTACAGCTTTCTGGTGTTCCTGAAGCCTTGCCTTGAGGGGGCGGCCTGTCTCTCCTTTATATTTCTTTCCACATTCGTATATTCATAGATACTGCCTTAACTAATTATGCAACAGAAGTTTCATTGTCATTCAGGAATCTCATTAATTTTGCCTTCGATTATCATGTTTGATGCCAACCTCGAGGATTGATAGATTGATTTGTTTGTTTAACGGCGTATCAACACCTTAAGGGTCATTTAATGCTGAAATTTAATTTTCTTGGGAGTTTTTAAAGCAATAAAAAATATTATATACAATAAAATTGTCCAAATCGTGTAACAGCATGGATAATTGTCCATCCCACAAAAGGTTTGATATCTAAAAGAAACTCTAAATTAATTGATTTTCTTTTTTCCAAGTTTTCAGATAAGACACTAACCATCTTGACGCCAATTGTCGTAAGAATCACTGAAAAACCCTTTGAGTTATTCAGCTAGAAAGCGAATAGATTAATATCGTTTTGTGTCAGTCCCACTGTCTTCCCAACTGAGCAATGGTGAGAGGAAAAAGATCATTCAGGCCTTCAAGTAATGTTACCAACATTCACACTCTGGTTTCCATTTTCAAAGTCCATTCAAGAACCATCAAGAGAACGGTGAATAAGATTAAAAAAGAGGGAACAGTAGAGACGAAAACTGGATCAGGAGGTCACAACAGGAATAGGGATCGTCATTTCAGCTTAGAGCTAAATACATTCTTATTGTTCAAATACTCTGATAGTGTTATAAAACTTCGGAGAATTCCAGTAAGATATCTTTAATTATTTCTAAGATACAACCGTTCAAATCTTAAATTTAACAATTGGGCAATTTTGCTGTTACACGATTTGGACAATTTTGCTGTTACACGTTTATGTTATTCCGCTTTCACAAGTGAATACATGGTAGATGATACTCAGCTTTTCTGTTTGTGCGAACATAATTACGAGAGGCGGTGATGGATATTTTATGTTATAGTTTTTTATTTAAATTATATTTTGGAATACAGTTTGGTTTAAGATATTTTCGGCTATTATATGAATTAATTTCATGAAAGAGTTCTTTCATTTTGTATGTTTGGATTGTTAATTGGTTTCGTTTAGCGGCATATCAACACATCTATGTGTTATTTAATGCCGAAATCTAAATATTTTGAACACAATTTTATGGCTTCAACTAAATATAATTTGAATTGAATTGTATGTTTTCAACTCCAGATAAAATGTATTTTTAGTCATTTTGCGATAAAATGTATTGTTGGCAATTCTACTATAAATATTTACTGTTGGCAATATATTTTTATATAAAAATGTATTGATGGTATTTTTACTATAAAAAATGTATTTTTATACTTTCTTTACTTTGTTATTATTTGAGAGCCACTATTTAACCATAGCTGGGACCTTAACAGGTTCTACCACCGCGTGTCAGGATGGACTGAGGAACAACAGCAATTAAAATATAGATTATCTATTTGATAGATAAATAATGAATAAAATGAGATAGATAGATAGATAGATATGGACAGACCAAGGTAGAGGAATAATGGATATCGGCTCGGATCCAGGAATGGGAGAGCCGAGTTCGAATTCCAGTCGAATCCATTACATTCACTTACGTGCTAATAACCTTAGGAAAGGTATGAATTTTCTTCTCCCCCGACCAAGCTATGGGCATATGGCAGGACAGACCAGGTTCTATAGCCTTGGATGGCAGCTGGTCTACTGCAGAAAGAAATGGTAAGTTACTGCTGTAAAAAATCTGCCTCGTCAGTCATGTATCGAAAGATCTATGATCGCCTAAGCGTGCATCACGCATGGCATATTACTGACTGAAGGTAGATAGATAGATGGATGTGAGGAGATTGAGATAAATATTTATATATATATATATATATATATATATATATATATATATATATATATATAGAGAGAGAGAGAGAGAGAGAGAGAGATAGATCTATGAGACTGATAAATAATGAGTAAAATGGGATAGATATGATTATATATATATATATATATATATATATATATATATATATATAATAAATTAACTGATTTAAAATATGTTTTTCGCTACACAGTTCTAACCATGTTTCAAAAATGGATAATAAAAGCTTCGAATTTAATTTTGTAATTAAATTAAAGAGATTAGTTCCATTTCATCCTCAAGCGAATTTTACTAATGTCTTTAATTCAATTACAAAATTAAATTCGAAGCTTTTCATTCATGGTTAGAACTGTGTAGCGAAAAAAACATTTTAAATCAATTAATTTTAATATTAATGCTCTGTAAATTTACATTGGGCACTATTTTGTAAAAATATCTATAAGAACACCGGATTATATATCTTACTGTTCTTTCTTTATATATATATATATATATATATATATATATATATATATATATATATATATAGATAGATAGATAGATAGATAGATAGATAAGACCAGATTGAGATAGCTAGGTAGCTAGCTAGACATTACTAGATTGTGACATATATATATATATATATATATATATATATATATATATATATATATAGATAGATAGATAGATAGATAGATAGATAGATAGATGAGATTGAGATAGATAGATGAGTTTGATAGATAGATAGATAGAAAGATAGATAAATGAGATTAAGATAGATAGATAGATAGATAAATGAGATTGAGATAGATAGATAGATAGATAGATAGATAGATAGATAGATAGATAGATATAACAAAACTGAGATAGATAACACGTGAGAGAAAACAAGAGCTATTTCAAAATATCAAACTTCAAATAAAACCAGCACTCGTAAAAGCAATAAGGCATAAAAGTTGTAAATATCAACAGGACTCAACGTTTACCTGCGTAATTTCAAGCTTCATCCAGTGGCAACCTATCATCTGCATTTATTTCTCCCCTTTTCCTGATCGGCTAAAACCAATATGGAAATATCAACAATTTTACAACCTTCCAACGAACGAGAAATCTTTATCTGGCGTTTGAAAGGTCGAAGCTTCCGTGGAAATGTTAAATAATAACTTCCCGGGCCCATGGAAACTCCATTACTATTGACAACAAAGGTTTTCAATACTCCATAATCAGCCCATCTCTCCCTCTTAACCTCTATCTTCCTTTTCTTTTCTTTTCTTTATCCCTGTTCACCTTGTTTCCCCGTCGGTGTTTTTTTTTTTGTTAACTAAATATATAAAACTTACGGCCTCATTGAAAGAACGCTCATCATCCGATCGCCGAAGTTATGTTACGTTGATTGAGCCTGGTCAAAATCTGGATGGGTGACCACCTGGAATAACCAGATGTTGTAATTTAAAATGCGTTGATGATGTAATGGATAACGGCTCGGAATGAGGACATTCAAAGAAATTATTAGGTTGGCAAGAAAGTTCCCGTCTCAGGTAAATACCTGAATGCCAGACCCTGTCAAAGGCTCCCGAAATATCCAATGCTACAGCCCGGGCGTCACCGTTTTTTTTATCTAGAACATGATAGATTCTTTCCACAATTATCGTCAGTACATCAGCAGGAGATCTGGAGAAACAAAAGCTTGTCTGAGAAAATGCCCTGTGATGAGAAATGATGAACTAATTCAGCATTGATTAGGGCCTCTAGGATTTTCCCCAAAAGAGGTGGAAGGTCAATAGGTGGAAGGGTCGGACAGCTAAACCAGAGTTCTTAAAAACTGGAACAACTGTCGATGACTTCCAGCAGGCAGTGAGGCATTTATTATGCAGTTTAGAGACAACAGGTGTTAGTTCAGGAGTATACTTCTTTATGTCTACTAGCAGTAGAGCCCGACGTTGCCTGGGGATGTAACAGTAAGAGATAGATCAAGTATCGACCGTATCATAAAGACTGAAAAATAAAATTGACAAAGATTATTAATTCTTAATTATAATATTCTTAATTAGTTTTTTTTTTTTTTTACGAATTGGTCAAACCCAAACTCAAACAAAAACATTGTTTTCAATCGTTATGAGTCTATCGATTGAATAGAATTTTATTATAAACAATTGTCTTCTAAATGGAATTTTTAAAGCATTCTGAATGTAAAAATAAGAAAAAAGTGTGCAAGACAATAAGAAACACTACCTGCCAAAGAACAGTGAAGTTTTGTTGAAATCGGTTGAAAAACGTAGGAAATCCGATCCCATATATAAACGAACACACACACACACAACCTGGGTTTTATCATAAGTATAACTCGATACGAGTTGTCCCCCTTTCATTCTGGCGACAGAATTGTGTTTTATCGTGTTTTCAAATTGATTTCATGCAAAAACAATTGTGTTTTTCCAATTTTTGGCGCTGTCAGAACCACCGCAAGGTAATTTTACGTAGTCTTGTGAAGTTTTGTTGAAATCGGTTGAAAAATGTAGGAAATCCGATCCAATATATAAACGTACAGACACACACACACACACACACACACACACACACACACACACACACACACACACACACACACAATCTGCGTTTTATAATAAGTAAGATTACTGGTATACAATCGGGTTCACATGCTATGTGTGTATATAGGTTAGAGGTGATAGTAGAAATCATAGAAGCAACAGTGACACAGTTCTAAATGGGAAGTTAGGAGGGGGATGTTCCAGATGAGTCAAGAGTAGAGTTTGAGAAGAATTTACGGGCAAAGCATTCAGCTCTATCAGCAGAAGATGATAACACCTCAAATTGATTGAAGAGGGGAGGAACAGAGACCTAACACTTATTTAATGTCCCATTACAGAGCCGCCAGTAATCACGTGAGCCAAAGTTGTTGGAAGCTATGTGCTGCCTCATGCTCTCGACACGCTGGTATAGCCGAAAATTGCGGTCCCTGTGCTATAGCGGGCGAGCGTGCTGGTGTGAACCATCGAAAGGATTGAAGTTTCACCTGGTATTTCTGAGAAAGAATTGAAAGCGTCCATGCCGGTTTTGACCCAAGAAGAAACCTCAATGGCGCAATTTTCAATTGGGAGGTTAAAGATGTCACTGCAATGGACGCCCCGAAGAAAATCACGGAGCGAATCCCAATCAGCATGCTGGTAACGGAAAGAGGTCTTGTGGATAGGGAGTACCCTGTTTAATAGCGGATTGGAACGAAATATCAATAGCTATCGTAGTGTGGTCAGAATTACCAAGAGTAGACAAAGGAAAAATTTAATGTCGCTACCTGTATAATGTTTAAGCTATGTGTCATGGTGAGCATTAAAGTCTCTGAAGACAAAGATGATCGCAGAGGGATGGAGAGAAAATGCCTTTTCTATACTGTCAGCTATTTATGTCTAATACAATGCAATTCTGGTAAGACGGGAAGTGATAAAGGAAAAAGAGATCGCTAACAGTTTAGTAACGAAAGACGGAAGAAAATGAAGGAGTGATCTGGGGCCTCGAGAAACAATTCCTTGGCCATCGGAAGATTATCTCGGATGTAAACACCAAGGCCATGCTTGCGAATGCTGGAATCTTTTCGACAAAGGGAAGATAGACTGGAACCAAGAATTTACTGATAGAAATGGAAGAATTTAAGTTAGTTTCACAGAGGGCAAAGATATCTGGCCACGGTTCCAAGAGGAAAGATTCTACGTTGCAAAAGTTGGAACGGGACCCATGAATATTAGGGGAAGAAATGAGGGGAGGTAAGTGTTTTTTGTTTACTGTTTAGTCGTATTTCTTTTTGTTCTGTTTGCCATTAAATTGATTTTGAAGAGAGAGAGAGAGAGGGAGAGAGGGAGAGGGAGAGAGGGAGAGGGAGAGAGGGAGAGGGAGAGTGAAAGAGAGAGAGAGAGAGACTACCGTAACTGCCACTATCTCTCGTCAATTGCATAGCTGAGAAAAGAACAGAGTGTAGCCTCAGGTTTGTCCACCGGAAATACATGCAGGGATACCTTACACATGCGCGATACGGCAGTACAACCAGTCCGGTATTATGTGACTGTTGTTTAGAGTAGCTGCTGTAAGCGATACAAAAGTGTTCGGGTTCCTAACGATCAGTCTGAAGCAGCAGCCAGTAAACTGCCAAACCGGTGTCCTCACAAGGGAAAGTCACAGCCACTGGTTAGCCCGATCACCAAAACGTTAAGAGAGTTAAATCATTTTGACCCTGGTAGAAGAAAGAATGAAAACTGGTCAACCATATCCTGTTCAATATACAGGCCGAATGATAGGTAAGCCTATCTACTCTAATTTACCTGTTAAAAAAGCACATAAATTCTGATAGGATTAAATTATGAGATTTCTGATGCCCACTAAGCATATTGGCAAGAAATTAAGAAGCCGGAAGAGATGAAGCTATTAACAAAGTTTCATCAGTAAAATGATGAGACCTAACAGCCAATCTAGTACGGCGTTTAAATTTGTGAATTTTATTTTATTTGTTTAGCTTAACAAACATTTTAGAGTTGTTTAAAGCCAGTAAATTACATTGTAAGAATTTGGTGGTGGTAGTGGTGGGGTAAATATAAGTCACTGACACAAGCCCTACTCTTTAACCCATAACTGGGGAAGTACAAGTAGATTCATATTTTTTCCAAGGGTTTTTGCGCGTAAGTGAATATAACAATCTTGACTGGAATTGGAACCGTACTCGGACCTCTAGTTTCCAATTTCGAGCCGTTATCGAATACACCATCCACACATCTAAGCTTACAGCCTCTGGTATTCCCAGGTGGTCTCCTAAATAAGCACTGACCAGGTTCGACGTAGCTTAACTTCGTTGATGGTACGAGAACCGGTGTTTCAACGTGATACGGCCGTAAATCTATATCACATGAAGGGGGAAAGCTAATGAGAAAAAATTGTCATGAGAATAAGTCATAGGATGTTACGTTAGGGCGATGGAAAGTTAACCGAAGCCGAGATGCCAGGTCAGGACCGATGACATAGCAGGTCCTTCAGCAATTTCTTTCAAGAGTTTTTAGATACATAGCAGAATCACCAGACTGGATGTGGCAGCAATATTCGGTGAACGAACTAATAGTAGAATTATAAATTTGCAAGATAGATTCTGGTGAGAAAAATTCTCTTGCACGGCACAATGAATTAACATTCCTAGCAGCAGACTTAGCCAGTGGTTCAATAAAATCGTTCTTATTCATGATAAGGGAAAACATTAGAGCTAAAAAACACAGCGAGTAGGTCGCCTAGAGGTTATTATACTGATAGCAAAAAAGTCTCTTTAAGACGGTCATGGCTCCTCACAATTCCCTGTCTTTTATAGCTCTTAATACATTTTGTCTTTCTGTTATTTCTCCTAAACCCTGTTCCCCATCCATTTAGTCAAGCTCTCTATGTTATGCGTTGTTTTCCTCTCTCTTCTTGTCTTCAGGTTGTCCCTTGTGTATCGAATTTTCCAAGCCTTCTTTCCTCATTGTGTCTTAGAAACGCCAACAGTCTCTTTCTGGTGTTAAGTATAAGTTTCCTTTTTGTTTCCATTTTTTTTCTAAAACTTCGTGGTTGCTCACATGATCTGTCCCTGTTTTACTCAGTATCCTTCTGTAGAACCACATATCGGAAAGTTGAGACATCAATGAGGAAAGCTCGTTAGACTAATCACCATGAAAATATAGAAACGACACAAAGTAGCTACGTTACGGCGGGTGGGAAAGTGGTTGAAGTCTAGATGACAGGTCAGGAGAAATAAAAATGTAAATTTTCTTCGGATTTTGTCAAGAATTTCTTGATAGATAGCAAAAGCACCAAACGAGATGTAACAGGAATGCACGGACAAACGGAAGATAGACTCATAAAGGGGAAAGAGATTCTTACGAGAAAAGAAATTGTTGAGCACGGCTAGTGAATCAACTTTCTTAGCAGTATACCAAGCAAATGATTCAATGTAATAGTTCCACTGAATGAGTCATAAAAATTCAGAATCACGGAATTAGTAAGTACTATATACATCAAATACATCGGTTTATGAATCACTAACAATAAATTATGGAGCATACAAAACTATGGACCATCCAAAATTATGAACCATCCAAAACTATGGACCATCCAAAATTTTGGACCATCCAAAATTATGGACCATCCAAAATTATGAACCATCCAAAACTATGGAACATCCAAAATTATGGAGCATCTAAAATTATGGAGCATCCAAAATTATGGACCATCCAAAATTATGGACCATCCAAAACTATGGAACATCCAAAATTATGGAGCATCTAAAATTATGGAACATCCAAAACTATGGAGCATCTAAAATTATGGAGCATCCAAAACTATGGACCATCCAAAATTATGGACCATCCAAAACTATGGACCATCCAAAATTATGAACCATCCAAAACTATGGACCATCCAAAATTTTGGACCATCCAAAATTATGGACCATCCAAAATTATGAACCATCCAAAACTATGGAACATCCAAAATTATGGAGCATCTAAAATTATGGAGCATCCAAAACTATGGACCATCCAAAATTATGGACCATCCAAAACTATGGAACATCCAAAATTATGGAGCATCTAAAATTATGGAGCATCCAAAACTATGGAGCATCTAAAATTATAGAGCATCCAAAACTATGGACCATCCAAAATTATGGACCATCCAAAACTATGGACCATCCAAAATTATGAACCAACCAAAACTATGGACCATCCAAAATTATGGAGCATCTAAAATTATGGAGCATCCCAAACTATGGACCATCCAAAATTATGGACCATCCAAAACTATGGATCATCCAAAATTATGGACAATGCAAAAAATAAAAAAGAAATATAAAGAAATAAAAAACACGATACGTAAGTAAAAAATGAAAAGTCTTTCTTGAAGCTTTTATATTTATTTAATTTTTAATTACAAGCTAAAAGATTAAATTTAATATTTCCTATAAGCAAAATACTTTAAAAAATATTGGTATTTCTTGATTTGTATTAAGCATTTCCATTTATATAAATATAAAACGTTGTGATTTATATAATATTTAGTAAATATAGGGTTGACTTAATAATAATACCACCAAAAAAAAGCTGAAATTAATACCGAATTTTAGAAGATTTAAAACTTAAATTTTTCTAATTAAAATTTAAAAAAAAATAAAACAATTCTTGTACAAATTCATTATTCAGGGAATTTTTTAAAGACATCTTATTTATAAAAGCAATGAAAAGCTTTTCCAATTAAATAATGACATCCTTGTATTTTACTGTTCAGAACAGATTTTCGGTAAATGATGTTTCTGTTTGACAAAAATAAATTGATGATTTAAATTCTCCATGGTAGATTGCGGCAACACCAAGTTGAAACAGTGGTTCTCATAAGATTACCGAAGTTAAGCAACGTCGAGTCAGGTCAGTAACTAAATAGATTTGTGTATATATATATATATATATATATATATATATATATATATATATATATATATATAAAAAGGAAGAGGTTATAGTAGTTACAACGAGAGAAAAGTGTGTATATTGTAGAGAAACCGCAAACGTATTTGGTTGTAATGTGGATTATTTCCGAGACCGGAAATACGTGTAGCAAAAAAAAAAAAAAATCCACATTACAACCAAAGACGTTTGCGGTTTCTCTCTTCGTTTTATATATATATATATATATATATATATATATATATATATATATATATATATATATATATGTTTATGCTTATTTTTATAGGCACAATTCATTTAAGAAAATGCTCTGATTTTATTTGCAAATAAAATCATACAATCATACAATCATGAGTAGATATGATCGATCGATAAAAATTGTTGAAGATTGTGTGTTTATAAACAGAAATTTAAACCGTGCTAAATAAACGCTACTCTATAGTCAAATGATAAAACACGTCAGATTAAATGACGGTTTCCGTATGGGAATACTGGTTCGATTCCTGTCTGAGAACGCATATTTTTTTACGAAATTTCTTGAACATTCACGTTGGTAAATGCAATTAATATTGCTTAATTAAAAAACAGAACATTTACTATAAACAGAAAATATATTAAATAATTGTCGGACTTAATCCATCTCATTAAATATATATATATATATATATATATATGTGTGTGTGTGTGTGTGTGTGTGTGTAAAGTGTGTGTATATAAATATAAATAAATATATTATATATATAATTATTTATATATTATATGCGCGGTACTTATTAGAAAGCGCTCAATATCAGAGATAGAGCTAACATACAAGGTTGGATTAATGCGAGTTTGTCTGACGATCGCAAAAGCGTGAAACCCAGGATCACAAACTCACATCAATCCAAATATATATATATATATATATATATATATATATATATATATATATATATAAATTCATCAATCATTCATACAAAAAACAAATATAGAGGTTAATGATTTAAATGGCGAGAATACATCTTCGCAAACAATATCAATAAAATACACCAACCCCGAACCTGTATATGAATGATATGATCCCTGTTTATAAATTCCAGTTGCATAAGGTCTTTTTAATTTTTTACAAGCTTTCGTCTGTTCCTACTGACATCCTCAGCTATGGAAATAGATTTGTTCTTGTTTTTACTTCTCGGTAATAAGAGGACAACGAAAATAATGTAATCCGAAAAAATGCTATGGGAAATGTATTATTGTTTTGGAACGTCCGGTCGCAACGCTGAGTATGAATTTTAAATTTTAAGGTTGTGCGTTTTTGTACAAATATAGTAATAAGAGAATTCTTTTTTACTGGTAGGTTTTCCGTCAATGTGGCATGAACTATATTGTTCAATAATTACAGTAATGTCACACTTATTATCCGAAAGTTGCACCTTGGATCAGTTATTTTAATTTCAATTATAGGTGCAATTATAATTTATAAATTCATGAATCATTCATACAAAAACATGTTTTTTTTGTATGAATGATTCATGAATTTATAAATTAAAATTGCACCTATATATATATATATATATATATATATATATATATATATATTTATAAATTCATGATTCATGAATTTATAAATTAAAATATATATATATATATATATATATATATATATATATATATAATGTAATTATATTTATTATATGAATCATTCATACAAAAAACATGTTTTTTGTATGAATGATTCATGAATTTATAAAATTAAAATTGCACCTATATATATATATATATATATATATATATATATATATATATATATATTATTATTTACTATAAACATATGTAACCACTACATAAATGCATTCACGTTTCGGTGAATATCAGCTCATCTCTTCAGGCGGTGAAAAATGATGGTTATTACAATATTTTAAATTTATTTATAAACAATCACTTTCCATGCAAAAAAAAAGAGGGGAAAAAATGAATGTAAGAAAAGCAAGCAAGAAAGAAAGACATAAGATATATTCTCATCTAAAACGAAAATAAAGTAAGAAAAATATAAGATGTAGTCGAAAATAAGAAGGGAGACAAGAAAGAAAGACAAGATACAATCGCTTCTAAAGTAAAAAGAAGGAAGAAAATAAGAAGTGTGAGAAGGAAAGAAAGATATCAGATATAATCTCTTCTCCTGAGAAAGAGAAGAAGAGGGAAAAATAAATATAAGGATGATATAAAAATGTCAAGAAGCTAGACAAAGTATGTTGAGAATCGGTTAGCCAATAAAAGTAGTTTATGTGAAGTAAGATGTTGTGGAAAAATAGATTCAAAACCAGCGGATACGTACAGTCTTTTTGAAAGGAATTTTGATACAAGGTAACGACATATAAACGGTTGACATTTTCAGTGAAGAGGCAGCATAATTTAACAATAATTATTTAATAGTATGTAAATAAAATCAAATCTTTAAGAAATAAAGGAAGGAAAGAACAGGAAAAAATGTATCAAAATTACGAAACAGAAAATTGAATAAAAATGAAAAATAAAAAAATGAACTAACTAAACTTAAAATTACATAGATCATATAAATAAATCATATAAAAAAATAAAATAATAAGATAATAAATTATATAAAACATAGATTAAATAGAGTTTAACAGTTAAGTAAAGAGTTCTATATCTACTAAAAAACAATAGAAAGTGATAAAACATATAATGTTAGATGAATAACGTACATACAATACTCCCTCAGAAATTCTAACTTACTAAGGATAAGTTAAAATGCTTATCGCAACGTTCAGTCAGTTATGTACCATCGTCATACTCGCGTAGGCGATCATGCATTTTTCGATACATGACTGACAAGGCAAATTTTTTCCCGCAGTAGGTTGCCATTTCTTTCTCTGGTAGACTAGTTGCCATCTAAACACGGTCTGTCTATCTGCTCATAACTGGTGGGAGGAGGAGAAGAGGATTCATACCTTTCCCAAGGGTATTAGAATGTAATAGATTCGACTGGAATTCGAACACGACTCTCCGATTCCTCAATCCGAGCCGCTATACATTACTCCAGCATGCCTACTCCACGCGATATCACAAAAGAAGCTTTAAAATATAAGTGGGTATTGAGGTTAACAGCCAGCTTTTTCGTGCTTAAGCGCAATCTTCAGGCTATGTCTTGAAGATTGCGTGAAAACCTTTAATCATTAAACGTTTGAATTTGAAGATAGCTTTTAAGCGTGAAAACTTCTAATCATTAAACGTTTAATTTTCAAGATTGCGTTTAAGCATGAAACTTTTGATCATTAAAGGTTTAACTTTCAAGATTGCGTTTAAGCGTGAACACATTAACCATTAAACGTTTAACTTTCAAGATTGCGTTGAAGCATGAAACGTTTAATGATTAAACGTTTAACTTTAAAGATAGCGTTTAAGTGTGAAAACTTTTAATCATTAAACGTTTAACTTTCAAGATTGCGTTTAAGCATGAAACTATTAATCATTAAAGGTTTATCTTTCAAGATTGCGTTTAAGGATGAAATTTTTAATCAATAAACGTTTAACTTCCAAGATTGCGTTTAAGCGTTAAAACTTTTAATCATTAAACGTTTAACTTTCAAGATTGCGTTTAAGCATGGAAACTTTTAATCATTAAACGTTTAACTCTCAAGATTGCGTTTAAGCGTGAAAACTTTTAATCATTAAATGTTTAACTCTCAAGATTGCGTTTAAGCGTGGAAATCTTTAATCAGTGAACGTTTAACTTTCAAGATTGCGTTTAAGCGTGAAATGAGGTTTAATGTTATCATTAAACGTTTAACTTTCAAGATTGCGTTTAAGCGTGGAACAGACTGTAGCCGCTTGGTGTTGAGCTCAATGTCCACTTTTAATAATTACATACATTCTATCCCTGATATTTAATCCATCAGTATAGCCGTCTTTACACACACACACACACACACACACACACACACACACACACACACACACACACATATATATATATATATATATATATATATAATTGGATGCATTTTGGGTCTCAAAATATAATATATACCCAATTTTGGTACGATACTTTTTCATTTCCAGTTGTGTTGAAGGGAACCATTCCGATTTATGGAACGTTTCACGCCTATCTCTAAACTGTCGCTATTTCCATTGAAATTTTGCAGATGAGCGTTACTTTCACAGACTCATATCGCCCGCATTTCCCCCGTATTCCATTTCTAAGTTGGAAGTTCGCCTCATATAGCTTTTTCCTCTAGATCAGCTACTTTGTAGAACAGACTCCCACGTGATATATTTCCTTGACACTATCATTATGACCTCTTCAAGCTAATAATTAGTCTTTATCTATCCTCCCTATCCTAATAATTTTCTCTTCCTCTTATATTCATATCACATATCCTTCAGTAATCATCTACCAGGAGTGGCTCCCGAGCCTTGTTAAAAAAATTATTGTGCATGGCGGGAACTTGGCGCATAAATTTTGGCTCATGTATTTGTTTTATCATTTCCCCCCCCCCAGCACCGCAATAAAGCCACCAAGACACAAAGGTTACTAATTAATATATTCATAGATTCCTGTTGAATTTTTTTTTTTTGTACACAAGAGCAGAAACGTCATGACGACCTGGAACTCAACGTTTGAATATTCCATATTTTCCGTTAACATGGTCCAGTCAAAGATCTGCAACAAATTAAAAAGATAAGAACCGAGATCCTTCAAATTGGCAGTTTACAAGATAAAATAACACATTTTCCAGCTGCATATGCCAGATAACGCTAGGTTTTGGGAAGTGGGTAGGCCCGAAAACTTGTCAGCGCCCCTTCGCATATGCGCGCCTCTCTGTGCGTGTGTGTGTGTGTTGCTTCTTACACACAAGTCGGATTTTACAGACACACAGGCCTGCACTTGAAGTACACCCTTATGCAGACACACTCTCGCTCCCAGCGAATTTTTTTACGAATTCTTGCAGCTAGACATATCTCAAAATACCCTCAGGCACGTCAATATCCACACCCCCAAATCTCAAACAATTACCCCCTACACACACGCACACACCGAAGTATACACTTGCGTATTTCTAATTCTTTTTTCTTTATTTTTTATTATTTGTCTTATCATCATCTCTTTACTTCATCACCCGGAGGAATGAACACAAACAACCGGAAGGTGCGCCATTTTTCCTTCTTCCTCTCTTCCGTTTCGTTGACTTTGCGACGCCATTTCCACATCCCGCCTCGTATTACTGGGGTTGGCGGGAACGCGGACATTTTTGGTATTTGGACGCAGAGAAGCATGTTTGCGTCGAAAGCGAAACGAAGGAAAAGCGAACAAATGAAGAATAGTTTCTTTACTTTTCCTATTTTATTCATATCTTTCTCCTTTATCATATTTAGAGGTGGTATATATATATATATATATATATATATATATATATATATATATATATATATATATATATATATGAAGAAGGTTTTCAGGGAAAAAAAAAATGGCGCAATTTTTTTTTTTTTTTTTTTGAGACGCACGATGTAAAAAAATCCTTCTGATACAATCAAATGAAATTCAACTGATACGAAAGAAAGCTGTTGTGGTTTCTAAATAATCAAATTAATTTAAAAACCGCAAGAATTTCCCTTCCATCCAGATATTTATCAAGAACATAAGCCTTATTATTATCAGTAGTGAAACCCAATATAAAATGAATTATTTTCTTGCTTGCTTAAAGAATCCCGATTACTGACAAAAAAAAAAATTCTAATTTTGCTAAATTAAAAGTCATCTTTTACTAAGAATGTCTTCAACAGAGCGGTTTATATAGAAAGATAAATCTGAATCAAATTAATATATATATATATATATATATATATATATATATATATATATATATATATATATATATCCCCATTTACCTAGATATATAAAGGTCTACAAACAAATTTATTTATATCTATTTACACATGGACATATATATATATTCTAGTATATATATATATATATATATATATATATATATATATATATATCCCCATTTACCTAGATATATAAAAGGTCTACAAACAAATTTATTTATATCTATTTACACATGGACATGCTCATTCTAGTATCTAGTATATATATATATATATATATATATATATATATATATATATATATATATATATAAAATATTAGTAGTAAATATAAACATACTGTTTTTTCTGTTTTCTTTTGAATTTATCGGTCTGATGAATTGGGTCGTATTTACGATTCCAATGGAATAAATTATGACCATGAAATATTAGTGTTTAAGCCTTTTTATTATATATATATATATATATATATATATATATATATATATATATATTTTAACTGATTTAAAATATGTTTTTTTTCGCTACACAGTATTAACCATGTTCCAAAAATAGAAGCTGAAAGCTTCGAATTTAATTTTGTAATTAAATTAAAAACATTAGATCCATTTCATCCTAATGTTTTAGGTTTACATTGAACACTATTTTGTAAGAATAAAAATGCCAATAAGAACACCGTTTTATATATCTTACTGTTCTTTCTTATATATATATATATATATATATATATATATATATATATATATAGACTTTTTTTATGTTTATAAATTCTTTTATAGATACAAATAAACATAAAAGTGTCTTAAAATAATTGTCGGACTTTTGTCCATTTTCATAATATATATATATATATATATATATATATATAATTTGTTTTAGGACATTAAAGCAAGAACGTTAAAACCGCTACACTATTACACTCTAGTTTCAACCCCGAAATGTTTCTCCTCAGGCAATTGAAATGGCTGGACGTAACTGTAAGTTCTATGTTACCAGTTTCTTCTATCGCACTTCTTGCTTGTGGAACTCTTTTCCGGTTTCTTGTTTCCCAGTCAACTTTGATCTTCAAAAGTGTAAATGCTGTATAAATCTTTATCTTAATTCTTGTTATTTTACTGTTCTTTTTCCTTAATTGTACTTTTTTTATCACATTCTCTCACACTCAATAACCCCTTGCGTCTTAGTGACTATATTGCCTTGATGGGGTGGAAAAAAAAACGAAAATTGCAATGAATAGATAACTTGACACAGGTTCAGTTTACACCTGTGTGTCAAAAAGTAGAGTTTGGTTGGGTTCATACCTGAGTTCACTCGAAATGTGACCGCTTTTTAAGTGCTGTCTTGACTCCTCAGCAGGAGACGCAGACGACAGGATAAGCCTCCGCTGGAGTCGTTCGAACATATCCCCTGTTGATAAGGGAGAACTATTATATTCTGTAATTTGTATATCGTTCTGTTTTCTCTGTACTTTCGCATGACTGCCTATAGCTATCAATTACAGAAACATTTTGACTTCCATAACTTCTTTCATAACGCATCATGATATATTCTTCCTTACATTCTGTCATTCCTCTGAAAGTTTCATCTCATTTTTCGTCTCATATTTGTCCGTCTGCCACCATTCTCCACCCCCTCTGCACACTAAAATTTTCTTTCAATGCTCCTTTTCTTTGGATTTTTTTCCCCCCTTTAGTATTAATTTTAGCCCGACAATCTCGTATTACGGCATATTCATTTCTCGGGTTTTACATTCCTCGCGTCGGGACATCTGCCCGAGGAAATCTCGTCGGCCGTGACCAGCACGAGATCTGCACCGATGGCCACTGGAAATGTTAATGAGGCTCCAAAGACATCGTACTTGCTTTCTACTTATTTATTTCGCATCTATCTGTTTATATGTCGATCGGTCTGATGGACCGTTTATCTACCTGAATTTTTCCAGGTA